ATTATCCACATGAAAGATTCAGTGAGGCACTTCGAGATACGTACTTTACTCACAATTTGACCTCAGTGAGAATAGTTCATGAATGTGTACGTCCACAGATCACTGAAGCACTAAATTAAAGTGCATTTTATAAGCCATCAAGTACAATTAGTAAGAATTGCGATTGATGGCCTATAAAAGTATATTTTAATAAAGAAATTAATACAACTAAATGGACCTTAACCAAAAAGAAAGCACCGCAAGACTTAAATGCGTTGTCATCCCCACTAAAATAATACTCAAAAATGTAAAAAAATTCTTTGACATTTATTGCAGTTAATTTCATTGACTTTAGAGTACTACAATAAAATAATTTAACAGCAATACATGTATGATCTGCGAATCAGTCATAATTATTTGGTTATTTAATGACGCTTTAATTGATTAGAACGTGAAATTTTACTCTTTGGCGTCCATAGAAGGAAGTGAAAGAAAAGTTCAGGATAGGAATAAAGGTTCAAGGCGAGAGGATAGCAATGTTAAGGTTCGCTGATGATATTGCCCTTCTGGCTGAAAGGAAGGAAGACGTAGAGAAATTATTGAATGGTATGAATAGATTACTCAGTGAGCAATTCGGCTTAAGGATAAACAAAATCAAGCCAAAAGTTATGAGGAGCAGCAGAAACGAGAATAATTGACCTATTACATATTAAAATTTGGAAAGACAAAGTAGAAAAAGTGAAAGAATTTTGTTATTTAGGAAGCAAAATCACAAAAGATGGACGAAGCAAGGAAGACATTAAAAGCAGATTAGCACAAGCTAAGAGAGCCTTCTTCAAAAACAGAAGTCTACTAGTGTTAAACATTGACCTGGAATTAAGAGAGATTTTTCTGAAGTTATATGTTCGGAGCACAGAGCTATTCGGAAGCGAAACATGGCCAGAAAGAAGCAGGATAGAAGCATTTGAAATGTGGTGCTGTAGAAGGATGTTGAAAATTAAGTGGACTGATGAAGTACGAAATGAGCAGGTCTTAGACAGGACAGGCGAAGGAAGAAGTCTATGGAAAAATCTTACGATGGTGGGGCACATTCTGAGGCACCCAGGATTGGTTAATTTGGTAGTGGGAGGAACAGTTGAAGGGAAGAATTGTAGGGGGAGACAAAGATTGGAATATGTGACGCAGATTTGTGAGGATGTGGGCTGCAAAAAATATGTGGAAATGAAGAGATTGGCGCAAGATAGACGAAAATGGAGGACCACATCAAACCAGTCGAAAGACTAATGACAAAGGAACAACAAAGGGGCGAGACCTTTGGAAGGCTGGATAAGACCTAATGCCGGTGTAAATAAGGTGGCGAAGACAAATATCTTGCCTCTAAAATCAAACCTCGCCTACCTCAAAGCCAGTTACCTACTTTGCCGTTGCTTTGTCGCTACTCTCACGTAATCCGAAATTTTCAGAAAACTAAATCAAATGTCATTCACAAAGTCTTGTAAAATAACTAGCAAATGTCGCTCAGTTTTAAGTATGTGAAATATATTACAATGCTTCTGGTGATAACAACCTTTGTTCTCGGAGCGCGAAAAATATGACAACTTGGCTTACAAATGATTTCTTTACATAGCGATGGATCCTCGCTTAAAATCGGAGCTGCAATGGTTTTCCTTCTCTCACGGTAGTAGATAATTTACTTTCAGCAACGCTGGTGATGATGAGACCATAAACTTCGCTTTGGGATTCTGTACCCACAGCAAAGCACAGATTAACTGAGCCTAATTGAGAACAGAATGCTTCATACAACATTCATTCTGCACAATGTT